TTCAAATGTATGTGAAAATCCGGGAGTTTCTAAAGTGAGGTTATCTACATGTTTGGTCTCACTGTAGTGTAGATAGACAATAGACAATGGTATGGTAAGTGAGTCTTATGGAAGTCCTATTCATGTTTTATCTGGCTAACGTAGGACTCAGCATGGTTTAATCAGTGTGGTATCAAAAGGTTGCTGAAGAGAGGCTACCAAAGCTCCAACTGAGAGCAATCTAGATCCAGCCTAGATTCTCTCTAAATACAGCCTAGGAGCTGTCTAGTTACAACCTAGGATTTTCTAAGTATAGCCTAGCACCCTATAACGATGTTCGTATAAAAAACAAATCGAGCCTCAAACATTAGAAATAATCTTACCTCAAACTGAGGGATGTTCTAGAAACCAAAAGTGAAGTCTTAAACTACTAACCGAAACAAAATCCAAAATCACCTAGAGACGACTCTAGCCAATCATCAACAAGAAATTAGTCCAAAACTTGAGTTCCCTGGCACAAAATTCCAAAAAGTCTCGCCCAAAATTAATTAGGGCCGAGACCGAATGACCACATAGCGTGAGGTTGCAGATCAAAAGGAAAGATTCTCCCTTATAAATTTCGGAAGAAGGCTTCCATTTGTCAAACTTCTAATTTTAACATTGATGAAAATTATAGAAAAAAGCGTGTTCAGTTTAATCCGAAAAATACAAACTGAAAAGTGGGTTGTGTAAAAATGACTGGTGAATGTTGAAAATTGCCTATAGAACCTATATGAAAAAGTAGAACAGGTTTAAAGAAAACGCATAGACAAGACAGCTGTTCAATGACATGATCGAACTGAAAAATCAAAAAGTAAACAACAATTATCATAACCTCAGATTATTTATTAATTGAATTTGCGAATAAGATGATCTATAAGATTCTAATCAATAACAGCGGGCCCTGCCGTACTGAATCAAACCCTCCTAGATCAATCAGCCAAACTTGCAAACCTGCTCCAAAAAAAAATTCAGTAGAAGGCAGTACTCAAGGTAACAAAATCTGGGCACAGAAAAGATAGTTGTTTATTTAGTTATTTCTTTATAGTTCTATATGGAATCATATCTACTAGAGCAAAACAAAGTAGCATACTTGAAGAGAAATTCAAAATATTACAATTCAGCAACTAGCAATTGTAGCATAAGCATATTGTATTGGGAACATATATTGGGTAAATAATTATACATTAATTCATAGAGAACCGTCGTTTAGACATGTTTTATTTATTGAAACCTTATGAGAAGCTAAAGAACTTATAATATTACAATAGGAACACCATAAAAAATGACGTATTATTAAAAAAATGGAACAGATGTAGTGATTAAAATGAAATTTGAACATTCCCATAGAATAACTGTAGCCGAAGCCTACAGCAGTACAAGACGTATTTGAATCTTATTTTGCTTCAAGAATGACTCCGTCAGCTACTCGTATTTACCATGAAATGAAAAATATGGAGAAATCCGGAGGTAAAATAATTACTATAATATAATAATAAATAAAATACTTATTAAAGAAAATCCTTTTGTCGCAGTGGTCGTAACTCCAATAATGCGACGTGCATTTTTTCAAGGTCTTTGCAATGAAATGGTTTTCGTGGACTCATCCGGATCTTGCGATCAGACAAATACTTGCGTAACATTTTTGTTTGCATAAAAAAAAACAGGGGCCATACCTGTCGTATGCGTTCTTCATACAACTCAAACTAAAGCCAAATATGCAGAGTTAAACTCAAAACTTAAGTAAACACATATATTGCTTGGGACAAGCAAACTCTTATCATAATCTACTTTAGAAGCCATAGAGGTAAAAATAAAAAAATTCCGCCCAAACGTGTTTATGACTGATGACAGTTCATCCGAGTGCATGCCTTATCAGCCGTATTCCCAAACTCCGTGCTACTGCTATGTACATTTCATCTTTGTCAAGCTTTATGGAGACGGCTTTGGCAAACCGACCATAACGTAAAAAAGGAGGACAGAAGAACAGTGATGGAAATTTTTAGGAATATTCTTGACGTTCCAACAATAGAAGATGCAGAAGAGCATTATGAAGTCTTGAAATGTAATAATATAGTCCAAAATAATAGAGTGTTATTTTTAAACACTTATAAAATTTATGGATCCGTCAAAAAGAATAGTGTACCTATTTCTGTTAAATATAATATAATTAGAAGAGTCATTAACACGAATAACTATACTGAAGAGTCTATTAGGATTTTTAAAGATGAAGTTGTGATTGTCAAGCAGTCACAGGCGGCAAATTCTGTAAACACCTATGCGCAGTAGAACAACGGGGATTACATGAAACAGGGAATAGAACAGATTAAAGGTACATTAGAAGTTGGGTCATCACCATGCCACACCATGCGACCACAAGATCTGAGCAAATTTGATGTCCAATACTTACAAATGACCAAGTCAAGCAACGAACCCATCCTTGGTACCTTGTGCAGCGAGAAATCCTGTATTGATTTAATTACTTCGAAAGAACCAGAAATTCAACGGTCATCAGAACACAACATTTTGAATTCTGATTTTCAGATATGTAACATAAGCCACGAAAATAAGTGTTTTTTGAACATTACCTTCAACTCTGAATCAAATGAATTTATTTATGAATTCCCAAGTTCATAAGGAACCATAATTCCTCATACTGTTTTACACGATGTTCCAGAATTATTTAGTTGGTTTATACAAAAACAAAATAGGACTATGCGTTATACTTTCATGTACCATTAAGTGTAACCCAACATTTAAATGGTATCTCGATGGAATGCTTTTATATGAACAGCCCAAGATGTACTTCATTGATATATCAAAGAATGGAGGATATATATGTGAAATAACATGCGGCTTTGCACCCCTATCTCGGTGGATGTGTTACCACTATCTGGCACTAGAGGTAGTGGTAAAACTTTATCTTCTAGTGGTGCTCTTGAAGAATAAAACGAAAGTGTTTCTGTTAGAATTAGTTCTTTAAGAAACTTTAGTCAAGAGTCCCTGGGCATCGAGTCTATAGAATCCACCGCTGGTAATTCTTCAGTAGATTCAACTTCTGAGAGTCATTCTGGAATAAGTTATTCCAATAAACTAAAAATAAAAAAATATAACAGCCTTGATAGTGTACAACCAAATATGGATGCTGCAATACCTCTTATACCTAAAAATCAACTCGTTTTTTCCAAAAACAGTACTTGGATGTGGAGTGCAAGGAAAAGTGATGGCGGGTTCATGGCTTGGAACTGATGTAGCCATAAAAAGCCTTCATATTGCAAGCAAAGGTGCTCAAAGGAAATTAGCATTGAGGGAAATAAGTGTTCACGCTCAAATCAGACATCCCAATATTGGCCAAATTATGGGCTACAGTTATGGTACCAGCGTAGTACATTTTGTGATGGAATTGGTAAATATGTCAGACCGTTAACTATCTGCACGAACAAAAGATTCCTATAATTCATAGAGATCTTAAATCAAGCAATATTATGATTAGTTTTACATTAGTGACCAAAATTTGTGATCTCGGATAAAGTAAATTATATAATTTAGGTTATATTACCAAAACTAACATAGGAGGATTTGCAAAAGGAACTCGCATGTATATGGCCCCAGAACTGAGTAAATCACAAATTCCGAGTTGTGACGTCAGAACTATGAACTAAGAACTCGGAAGACCGGGCTTCTGTAGTAAAATATGCAGGCCTGCTCCGTATCAGACTGGAATTTGTCTTATGCGACATAATCATAAACAAAGCTCCGAGTGATTCAGAGCATCTTCTGGATCGCGCTCTCCGAACTATACAGAGGATTTGCTTTACGCGTCAGGGACTACCTTTCAGAGACATTTGCGAATAAAGTCATAGGTACCTATCCCGAAATGCCCTGACCAGAAAGATCACCCGATATAACCTCGCTCGATTTTTTTCTTCGGGGATTTGTGAAATATTATGTTCACAAACAAAATTTTGAAACTGCAGAAAAGCTTAAAGGATTGGTTGGTGAAGCCTTCCAAAGCATATCTCGAGAAATGCTAAATAATGTTTTAGATTCTACAGTTAAAAGATGGTATTTATGTATGGAAAATCAAGGCAATCTTTTTGAACACCTATAAATTTAGTTTGTTGAATTTTTGTATAATTATTGTATTATTGTTTCTGTATGTTCTTTGTTAATTTAATTGTTGTTCATTGTTAATAAATTTATTAAGGACCACCGAATTTCACAATATATTGAGTCCAGGCAATGACATATTCTAGGTTAAAAACGGGTGCAGAAATGATAAAGTGATGTCATCTGAAGCTGTCTAGATTAAAAACTTGTCGATAAACGTCAAAAATATGTCATTTTTGGTTATGAATTAAATAAATGTATAATAGACCAGGAGATTTTGGAGATTTTTCTTGTACTACTTTTTTTTTATCGGAACTGACCCTAAATGACTGAGACATTGTGGAATTCAGAATGAAAAGGGATTCTAAAATTTTATATCAGGAAATCAGGGCCGTATTTGAAAAAATGAAGTTGATGATGGTGGCCCAAAGACGAAACGTCGAATTCCAGAAGAGCTCTAGTTAACGAATTTGTGGCGTCGGCCAGAAACATATTTCGTTTCTTGTCGTAGTTGTCGCGAATCAAAAATTGCCCCCGTAAATTAGGGCGCAAAGAGGTAGATACATTGCGACCCGGTAGTACGTAAATTACATGTTTCATAATTACAATTACGAAAATGTCCCCTCCTCAAATTTTTCACAAATCAACAAGTGCTCTCAGGCTCTTCGGAATGGAGCTGCTCAGAGAGTTAGAGATGAGTGGTTATCAGATGTGGGACTAATAATGAAAGGTACTGAATACTACTTCTGTTCGATTATTTAAATAGATTTGTTTTTGATTTGAGTTAGAAATTACTAAATTTTTATCTGCCCTATCCTATAGCTATACATTTAAATTCAACGGTTTCTGAAATATTGGCTGTCTCAACTTACAATCATTATGGCGGAAGTATGACTTTCAATTAGTTTTCTGAAGTCAACTTGTCGTAACTTTTCCATTAATATCTTAGTGTCGTTTGTCTCGATGCCTACAGCCACTCCTATATCGAAGGCTACTTGCCTGGGTTGAACTTGATAGGACCAAAACCCAAGACTACAGCCACTTATCATTATTGCTCCTGAAAAAAATAAAGGGAGTTCGAATAAAAAATTGAAGATCAGTTGAAAGTTTTTGTCATGTGACACAAATCATCCAATCGCGTTTGGATTGATGCTCCGCGGAGCGATCACGGAGTATCGTGACATCCCAGCAAGTACACCTTGTCAAGCCAAATAAACTCGTGCAAAAGTACCTGACGAAAGACGATAGGTACTATCGAATCGTGGCTTCAGAAGCCGGGCTCTGTTTAAACCTTACGGTATGCATATTTCGCATCTTCAACTAATTAAGAAATAGTACATTCAAATAATCAAACCAATGCCGTGCCGCCTCTGCTACAACTGTATTGGAATGTACTATTTATTAGCTTGACTTTTTTTGCGAATTTCTTATCTTTAACAAATTTTGAGAATACCCCGGTTTTACGGATGCTGCTTGAATCTAGGGCGTCTACCTTAATGGTAATTTTTATCGCGATTTTAATCCCCACTTGGAGGAGTATTTTTCGTTTCTCTCAAGGGTTCTTTTGATATTTTGATATACGATATAAGAAGAGTATACATGAAACTCTTACTGTGAAAAAGGCCTTTCGCTCTTTGTGCTAACAAAAGCATGTTTACGTTTGCTGCGCCAGCACTTTGACCAAAAATAGTAACTGTTTTAGAATCGCCACCGAATGCCTTAATATTAAACTTGACCCATTTCAAAACTTCTATTTGGTCCTTGGTCGCCCAGTTTCCTGGGCTTTCCATGTCTTCTGTACTGAGAAAACCTAGAAAATTTGCGATATTAAATCATCAGGTTCATGAAACTTGGCTAACCAAAAACAGATATCCTAAAATTTGGTACGACCAAAACAACATCGTTTTCTATAAAAAAGTCTGGTCCGTATTCTTTCGCGCATCCACTGATAAATCCGCCTCCGTAGAAAAACACCATTACTGCTAAAGGTTTCTTGAAAGCCCCCCCTGTTGGCTTCTGAAAAGAATTATATTTTCAGTTCCGAAAAAAAGGATCCGTTATACTGACAAAGTCTACTTACTCTTGGAGTATAGACATCCAAATATAAACAATCTTCTTCCCCATCTGGCACCATTTGAAAACTTCCTGTGAGCTTTGGTAAATTAACACCTGCGCAACAGGGTCCTGGAACCGTCGCGTCTAGTACAGTAGACCAGTTACTTATCGGTACAGGAGCCTTGAGAAATTTATCAATTCGAATATAATTGAAATAAATCACGGTGCAAGACTTTAGAATTTAATCTGCTCTTAGGATAACGCACACCTAACATGGGATTTTTGGGCTCTATGGATTTTTCCCATTTTTTGATATGTTGTAGAGGATTTTTTCTATTGGGTTTTTTTATCGAGTTCTTCCTGTAAAGGTTAGCTTACTCTTTAGTTACAATTGTTTTTGTTATAGTGATGTGAAAACGAGTCTTTTAGTGTGAATGTATTGATGGGATTTTTTACCTAAGCCTACCTTAATCTAACTTAACCTATGCTTAACCTAATTCCCTCTGTGGGCCTGTTGAGTGTTTTGTTTATATTTTTTTTTTTTTTTTTTTATTTTTTTTTTCTTCTCTCGTTAGTCTATGAATTCAAATAGATGTTTGTTTTTTAGGTTTTTTTGATAATCGTTTTGGAAGATGTTTTTTATAATTTTGTTTTGTGAGGCTTCTATTTTTTATTTGAATCGTATATGTTTGAACTTCATAAATTCCTGCACTGTTTCTATTTTTAGATCTTTGTGAATATCTGAATTCCTCACAAACCAAGGGGCTTTGGATATTCTGCGGAAAATTTTATTTTGATAGACTTGTAATTTTTTTTTTATTCGTTTTTGAGGTGTTATAGAATATTGAGGAGCCATAAAGTAGTTTTGGTCAGATTACTTGTTTATATAGTAGTGTTTTATTTTTTAGGTTTAGTTTACTTTTTTTGTGAATTAGGGGATTCAGCAGGAACACAGTGGAATTGCATTCTGAGATTTTATGAGTGATGTGGTGGTTGTAGTTTAGTCTTTTGTCTAGGTGTAGCCCGAGATATTTTAAGGTTTCTGACCATTGGATTCTGTTTCCGTTGAGCATTATTGGTCTTACATTGGGGAGTCTCCGGGTTTTGTGTAACAGTATGGCTTTTGTTTTTTCTGTGTTCACTTTAATTTTCCATTTTTCTGCCCATTCTTGTATTTGGTCTAGATGTTGTTGTAGTGTGTCGTGGATGGTCGTCGGGAGTCTGTATGAAGAGTATATGCAAGTGTCGTCTGCGAAGAGGGATAGTTTGGTTCTGTCGTTTGTTGGGATGTCTGCTTGGTAGATGTTAAATAATGTAGGTGATAGTGGGGAGCCTTGTGGAACTCCTGCTTCAATGTTTCTTGTTGTGGATATTTCATCGTTTATCTTTGTTTTGAAGTGACGATCTTCAAGGTAATTTTTTATAAAAAGTGTCAGGTTTTCAGGAATTTTGAATATTTTGTGCATTTTATGGATGAGTCCTGCATGCCAGACTTTGTCGAAAGCTTTTTCTATATCTAGTGTGACCATTCCTGTTATTAGTTTCCTATTGAAGGCGTTTGTTATTTCTTGCTGGAGTCTGGCTAATTGTAGGTCTGTCGAATGTTCGTTCCTGAATCCAAATTGTTCGTCGGGGATGATTTTGAGTTCTTCGATGGTTGTTTTTAGTTTGTTTAGGAAGATTGTTTCTAGTAATTTACCAAGGCAGGATAGAAGACTTATGGTGCGCCAGTTTTGGGGAAATTTTTTGTCTTTTTGGGGTTTTGGGAACAATATAATAATTGCTGTTTTCCATGCTTTTGGAAAATAATTGAATTTTAGACATGCATTGAATATTTCTGTTATGCTTAAAATTGTTTCGTCGGGTAGGTTCTTGAGTGCCCTGTTCGAAATTCTGTCTATTCCTGGAGCTTTTCTGTTGTTGAGTCTTTTTATTATGTCTGTTATTTCAGCTGGATCTGTGCGGAGTTCTTCGCCTGTTGTGTTGTTTCGGTTTATTAGCCTGTTTTTAGTTCTTTCTATTTCGGTTTCTGTGTCGGAGTCGTAGTCCTCTATTCTGTTTTCTGTGAATTGTGTTTCCAGGGAGCCTGCAAATGCTTCTGCTTTTGTTTTGTCGTCATAAACGAGTCCGTAGTTTACGCTGTGGATTGGGGGATAGTTTTGAAGAGTTTTTTTTACCTAGTAAGCTTTTTTGGGTTCTCCAAAGGTTGTTCAAATGATCTTTATCATTTAATTTAGTTAAAAATTGTTCCCATTTGGTATTTTTGAACTCTTTGATTCTTTTGTTTATTTGTTTGGTTTGTTGGTTTGCAAGTGTGTTTAGGTTGGGGTCATTAATGAGCTTGGCTCTCCTTTTCATTCTGTTTCTTTTCCTTATTTCCTCTCTTATCTCTGGTGGTAGTTGGTAGGAGTTTTTTGTTTTAGTGTGGATAGTTAGGGTGGAATTTTCTGTTGCTGCTTGGATTTGGAGGGTAAGGGCGGCGATGGATTGGTCTATTTCTTGGGTGTTTGAAGTGGGTAAGGTGGTTGGGATTGTTTCTAGTAATTTGAGTTTAAATTGGTTCCAGTTTATGATTTTAGTTTGGTTGGGTTCTGGTGGTTCTTGACTGTAGTTTGAGATTCGGATGGAAATGGGGGTGTGGTCGGAAGAGGCCAGATCATTGAGGTTCTCGACTGTAATAGCTTGTGGGCAATTTTTCACCAATGCTATGTCAAGTATGTCCGCTGTTTCGAAGTGGTAGTGTGTTGGTTCCAATGGTGCTAGAATTGTTAAATCATGGGTTGTTTGGTAATTTGATAGAGTTTTCCCTGCGGCATTTGTGTTTTTGCAGCCGAAAGTGACACTTTTGGCATTTAGGTCTCCTGCTATTATAATTGCTCCTTTATTTTTTAGCATTTTATTTAAGTCCCCTTCGCTTAATGTTACGGATGGTGCCTTGTAGGCTTGTGATTTCGCCGTCAATGTGTTTAATTTTAATGCCAGTCATTTCTATATTGGCTTCGGTTTCTGGTGTTTGGATTTGGGTGTGCGGGAGGTTTTTTTTAATTAGGATTGCCGTTCCTCCTCCGATTCGGTTTGGTCTATCCTGCCTGTAAATCTTATAATTTTGCACTTTCCATTCGGTTTGTGGCTTCAGGCAGGTTTCTTGAAGCAGTACTATATCTATGTTATTTTCTATTATGTAATCTGAGAACTCATGTCTTTTGGGGTATATGGAGTTGGCGTTCCAGCTCATTATAAATAGATTCTTGATTATAATCATCTTTTGGTTGCTGGCTAGTTCTGCAATTGTGAGAGTGTTCTTAGTAGCGGGTTTGAGTTTATTTTTTGATTTATTTTATCCAAGATTGAATCGATTTTTCTGTCGATTTCTGAGGGGTCTTGAAGTAACAAGAGAAGAAGTGGGTTCTGATTTGGAGGATTGTGTTGATTGTTGAGTGTGGGTTGGGAGGTTTGGGGAATGGGTTGGTTTTGGATGGGGTTTCTGGCTGCTCTTGCGTAATTGATTGCAGAGTTTGTGGTTTTTGGGTAGTTTGGTGTTGGTTGAGGTTGTGGTTGAGGTTGGGTTTGAGTGGTTACTTTCGGATTTGGGGTGTTGTGGTTGTTTGGGTTTTTTGGGCATTCCCTGTAGTTTGCTGGGTGATTACCCTCACAATTGCAGCATTTTGCTGGTGTGGTCTTGTCAGCTTTCTTGCAGTCCGAATAAAAGTGGATTCCGGCGCATTTGTGGCATTTAGGATTTGCGTTGCAGTTCCTGAGTGTGTGCCCGAATTTTTGGCAGTAGTGGCATTGGGGGATCTCCCTTATGCCAGAGTGCCTTTGAGTTTCTACGACTATTGGCATGTGGGCGAGGTATTTGAGGTTGAAAATGTTTGTCTGGCTTTGGGGGAGTAAGAATTTTAGATGTCCTGTAACTGTGTTTCGGCTCCTGCCTGTTTTGAACCATTCTGGTTCTACTGGTTCGAATTCCTGTTCTCTTAATTCATCCATTAAGTTGTCTAACAGAATTTCTGGGTTTAGCCCTTTGATTATTATGTTTAGTTTTAGGTCCTCTTTTAGAAAGTATGTATGATATTGAATGTTATTTGATTTTAGCAATTTTGTGGCGTTCCTGTGATCAGTAGATGTTTTGGGGGTTATCGCAATTCCCATTGTATTTTTCTTTGGGTCGTGAAAGTTGACGTTATTTTCTTTGAGTAAGTTGTGTATTTGTATCCAATTTTTGGGTTCCCTAATGATGATTGGGGGAATTTTATCTGCTTTTGGTTGCTCGTTCTGCTGTGATGCTTGTACTTGCGTTTGCTTTGGTTTTATCGCTAAGCTGCTATGGGGCATGTTCATGGGGTCGTTGTTTGGTTTGGATGGGAGAACGGGAAAGTCGGGGTTCTCATTTTGAGGGGATTCGTGGATCTCGGCGGTCTCCATTTCGTGAATCTCTTCCTCTTCTTCATCTTCTGATGATGAAGATGATGACTTTGGGCCCAGTTTTGGTCTTTTGGCGTTGTTTTTATTTATTGGTGTTTTATTGGAATTTTCGTTTGTGTTAATTTTCGATTTAAGATCTGTGTTGACCTTATTTAGATCTTCAATATATTTCTGTTGGGCATTGATAGTGTTGATGGCTTCATTAAGTTTTAAATTTTGGTTTTTGAAGTTAACAATGAGATTTTGCATTTGGTTTTCAAGAGTAGTGTATTTGAGCTTGAGGTCTGCAATAACTCGTTCTTGGTTTTCGGTTTTGCTGATGAAGTCAGCTATGCTGGTGTCGTTTACCGTGAGTTGGGCTTGCTTGACCTCAAGCTCTTGATTTAGAATCTAATTATGATTTGAAATGGAATCAATTTTTTTTGGTTAATGAGAGAATCTTTGATCTGTATTGTTTTTCTGTTGATGATTGAGTATGGACTTTTTTGGTGGGAATTCTAGTATCTGACTTACCCCTTGGTCTAACTGCTGGCTCGTTTTCACAATCACTATTTACACTTTTTTTTTTTAATTTCGCTAACGTTTGAATTCATCGCGGGGGCTTTGATGGGCCCCATTTTACCACGCCCGAGCGTGTTACTAGTGGAATTTGGTGGAACTTCTCTTCTTTTAGTGGGTATTTCCGATCTGTGGTGGAATTTCTCGTCTGCGGCTTCAATTTTGCCTTTTAGTTTTGCCAGCAGGCCACAGGTCGATTTCTTAAGCCCCTATGACACTGCTGGAGTTTAACTATTGGCTGTACGTCTTCACTCTTCTGCTGTCACGACTCGACAATCAATAAACAATAAAAAAAAATCGTTGTAGAGGATTAAATTCTAAACAACCTTTAAATGGGACGAAACCTTGCAGTTATTACGGCCTTTGAGATATGAGCGTTGAAAGATCAACTTTTTTGCGATTTTTTGTGTGGAGAGTATACGAGATGCTGGTGCTACTGGTGTTTATCAGTCAAAATATTGATAGGTTCACATATTTTACGTCACTTAAAAATTAATGTCAACATAGGATAAGGCCGGGACCGCACTTGAGTCAATGTTGGCGCCAGTGCGGTCCTGGCCTTAGCCTATGTTGACATTTGTTAGTGAAGTGAAATATGGTGAGCTGTCAAAATTTTGACTGATAAACACCAGGGGCCGGATTACGACCTCTCGATTCGAACCGAAACTGCCATGGATTTCGATCGCACTCCATGCGAATGCATCAGAATGCGTTCGAAATCCATGGCGGTTTCGGTTCGAATCGAGAGTTCGTAATCCGCCCCCAGTTTTTCGTATACTCTCCACACAAAAAGTCGCAAGAAAGTTCATCTTTCAACGCTCATATCTCAAAGACCGTAATACCTACAAGATTTCGTCCCATTTAAAGGTTGTTAAGAATTAAATCCTCCATAACATATCAAAAAATGGGCAAAATCCATAGAGCCCAAAAATCCCATGTTAGGTGTCCGTTATCCTAATTTTTGTCCGTTAATTAAATTAATCAATTAGACGAAACAGTGCAAAAGGGCATAATAGTAGATTATACCACGAGTCAATAATGATAGCTATTATTCCCGAGGAATATTTACGAACTGAGCCGCGTTAGCGGCGAGGGAGTAACATTCCGAGGGAATAATAGCCATTATTGCGAGTAGTATACTCTACTTTATTTACGACAAATTAATTTATTTGAGATTTTCAATGAACAAATTTCATCCGTCTCATAATTTTCAATACAAATCCACAAGCACTACACATTTGACGCTGACACTTTTGTGGAATAATGACCATTAATCCCGCTACTCGTCATTAATCCCTGGAGGAATAACATATGTCATTATACTGCCAAAATCACAAATATAATACGCACATTATATATTAGTCGTAAATAAAATATATAATTATTCTGCCCAAAAGAAAGATTTAAATTATTTATCAGGCAGTGGCTACCTATAATTCAGAAAACTCGTAATTTCTACCGGTACTGAATTACCAATGGAAGTTTTCGCATTACGCAATAACGCAATAATCACAAATTCGAAAATGATTCCAAAAGGAAATAAAAATAATAATAGGTATAACACTCGTGCAGTTTTGTCAAATTTAACATCTTTTTCTGATTCTGGGACATCCAGAAATTTATACAGAATAATCCCCGATCAATGACAGTTCTATTTTTCCACCTTTATGTTATAATTTAAAAAAACGTTTAATAGAGTGTCTACTCACTCTAAATCTCAAGTCATTTATTGGCGGTTCAGCGTAGGGTATCCCTACATAACTAAAATATTTAACACCGTTGAACGATCTTTCTTCTTTTCCTTGTATCAGTCCATTGGAGATTTTAAGCTGTAAGAGTTGGTTCTGAAATAAAATCGGAAAGTCAATTTCAGCGTAAAGTGATCAAGTTGTCTCTATTTTGAACTAAAAAAAATTGCCTCAGTTTTGTTTAGAGAGTCTAAGTAATTCAAAAATTAAATTTTCAAAATAAATATAACGTAGTAGGCATACCAGTTTTGTAGGAGCAACAATACCGATGGCTGAACATTTTTCAGAGAAAAATAACACAAAAGTCAAAACTAGCCACATACTTAGTTAATAATTAGACTGCGAAACAAAGTAACTAACTAAATAATACAAGTAAATTTTCATTGTCCATAATTTGAAACATAATCGTTCAAATTACCTGCCAATTATTGTGAGCATTTATTGGATTTTCCTCAATAAAAAAATGTTTGATTTAACTTAATTTGTTTTTGTTGTTATAGGTACATACATGTTTTATTTTATAACATAGGTTTAATAAGAAAGCTTTTATATTACAATTATATGAATTGACAATAAATTTCAAAATAACTTAAGTAGTTTTACTGGTAGGTGTCTATTGAAATAGGTAACAAAATTATGGTTATATTACCTATATTAACATCTTCCCCTTTTAAAGCGGCGTCAGATAGGTAGCGACAAGTCGATGTCAAAATTTTTCAAAACGAGTCACATTGGCATTCGTCTACTTCTACTCGGGAATTGGAGAAAAAAAAATTATTTTGAAGTAAAATAGAATACCAGAATTCGCGGCGTTTTTCTTTCAAACAGGATGGAACACGGAAAATTCTAATTTCCAAAAAAAAAAACGGGGCAATTTCTGAAATAAAACGAGTCACTGGTTGAATGAGTTGAATATTGGGAAAAATTATACCAGATTTGGTGTGGCTTTTCGTTCAAACGGTATAGAACATGAACAATCCTAATTTCTAAAGAAAGACGAGTTCGCGGAGCTTTTCTCTCAAACTGCATGGAACAAAAAGGGGACAATTTCTGAAATAGAACCAGTCAATGATTGAATTAGTTAAATAATGGGAAAATTAGGTATACCAGCGTGTGTATGGCTTTTCTTTCAAACCACATAAAAGATAGACAATCTTAATTAAAAAAAAAAAACGAGGCAATTTCAGAAATAAAATAAGTCCTTTGGTGAAATTATACCAGGGTTTGTGGTGCTTTTCATTTAAACGACATAGAAAATGGACAATCTTACTTTCTAAAATAAACGAGTTCGCGTAGCTTTTCTCTCAAAGTGCATAGGACCAAACGAGACAATTTCTGAAATGGAACGAGTCAATGGTTGAATAAGTTGAATATTGTTAACGAAATGATCGTATTGAGGATATTGATTTCTAGATTACCCTTATATTTGGAATTGCAGGAGCATGTCGACTTGCTAAATTATCCCAGATCACATTGGATGAAATAAAAGAATTAGATGCCACATTAGAAGTTAAAATTAATCATTAAAAAAATAATGTAAGAAGGAGCTTTGTGTCATTGAAGAAGAGTTCGTCAAATCTGACAAAATGTACGTAAATCTTCGTTCACCAAGAGCAAAAGATCGCCGGCTGTTTTATGCATACCGCAATGGAAAATTTATTAGCCAAGAAGTAGAAAAAAAATTAGTTTTATAAGATACCTGAAAAAGTAGCTTCCTTTCTTGGCCTCGAAAATCCTAAACTATGTACAGGGTGAGTCATTTTGGATGGGAATGCCGGGTACAGCCTAAACGGTGATAGATACAAAAAATCTGATATACGTTTTTGTGTGATTTTTCACGTAGAATCCAGTGGCATACTCAGATTTTTTTTAGGGGTATTATTTTTCGAGATATAGTCAAAATTTCAACTTTTTTAAATGGGACACCCTATATATTTTCACACCGTTAAATTAGGTTTTTTTTGTGATTCTAATGATATATAACACTTTATATTTTCAATAATTTTAACTGTCAAAACTGCAAAAAAACTATATTTTTAGGGTATTTTTAGCGGATTTAGCGATCCCGAACACAAACATGGTAGGGCGGTAGCCGGAGCAAGTGCGGCAGCGACACGGGATTAGAATTATTAAAAAATGTGGTGGGATTTAATACATTTCATCCTAAAGCGTTATTTCGCTTAAGGATGTTTTTAATCCTTTAATGAACATTTTTACGTGAACTAGCAGACATAATAGCCAACTAGGCTTCGAACCTAGGACCCCTAGATTCAGTAACCGCCGAAGTTTGCAGATTGTAGCACTAACACATTAAAAGTTGACAAAACACTTGACCGATTGGGCAAAAATGAACCGAAGGCTTTGGTAGCTCATTTTATAGACTGGGAATTTAGAGGTCCTAGAGTCAAATCCTAGTCGAGTCCAAACTTTTCACTTTCCAAATTCCCCTATAAATATAGACAAAAAATAAGCTTCAAAAATTAGACATAAATAAGATGCTTACATTGTAACTTAGAACTTAGTTTTTTTACTAGATGGACTTTTATCACACTAGTTTATCAAAAGTAATGAAAAATGACATGCGCGCGCAACTCGTGGCTGCAGTGTAGCCAGATTGTATTGTTGCAGAACAAATGTACCTAGATAATACAAATCAAACATTATAACATCAAAGAAGTGATATATTGTCAAGTGTTTTACAACGCCTTAAATCAGACGAAAGAAGAGCTCTAAAGTGTATGTAAACATCGTTTGGTCTTTTATTTTGATAAATGTTTCATCTGACAACATCGCACAATGAAATCGCAAAGGGATATGTCAAGGGTGCGTTCAAAGACGTCAATGTTAATGCCAAAACCTACTTTTCCCCCTCCACTGGTAATGCCGAACCACGTAGGTTGGAGCCGAACTCGAACGCAAAATGCCAATTTTGGTTTGGCTTAGCTGTAGCCATTCCTGAACGAAGCCAAGTATAATCTAGCATGACCTTGAATGATACTGCGGTAAGTTCAAGTAATACCTAAAGTATTAATTTGTTCTTTGTCGAATTACACGTTACAAAGGAAGAAAGAACGATAATTCTAAAGTCGTTTTTGAATACGAATATGACGCAAGCCCGTAACAAACTCGATTCTTATTGGACGCTCACCTGCAACCCACGAGTTGCGCGCGCAAACCAGGTATTACGAGACACGTCATTTATTAGTTTTTTCCTACACTGCCTCTGAAAATGGATCGTAAGCGTATTTGCATATACTACGCGTGTGCTCGTAAAGGTGACAGACATTGTTGTGTTTCATAGAGACATATATTCTAATAGTATATTCTTCAACGAGCATATAATAATAGCCTTTATTTGCGAGTAGAAGACTATCAGGCCTATGATGTTATTTTAACAGCAACGTTAAGTTATCTGTCACTGTTTGTTCTATACGTCATGATAGAGATAGCAATAGATGTTGAGGCATAACACAGTTGTTAAAATACCAGGACCAGAGACAATATAGGCCTGAATACTTTCTCTTCGAACTTTTTCAAAGAAAATCATTAGTTTTCGTAAGAAATAATCATCAAAAAGTAATCGTAAACACCGGGATTCCTATTTTTTTATTGTTTGATGTTGTCGCTAATGACCACGGTTACCTAGCTAAACATCAATTTTTATTAACATTAAAAAAATTAAGTTTAAAAACCTGTCGCGATACTTGTCTTTTTTCAATTGCAAAAAATGGAGTTTGAAAACTATGAAAGATATAACATGATTGAATGTTATATAGAAAGTGGCAAAAACAAAAATGCAGCTGCAAACTTATATTTTCAAAGATATTCGGAACGCCGACAACCAAATTCTAAAATATTTCAAAGACTGGAAACAAATTTATGTCAGTTTGGTACTTTTTGTCAACCGAGGTCAAAAACATATAGAAAAGCGAACAAAGAAAATGAAACCATAGATACTATTGGTTATATCACAGCACATCCAGAAGCGTCAACAAGGGAAATTGAAAGAAATGTAGGAGTGTCTCAAACAAAATCAGTAAGGATCTTGAAGAACAATAAATTTCGTCCATATGTCATAAGAAAAGTCCACAATTTACACGCTGGGGATGAAGAGAGGCGTGTAATGTTTTGCAGATGGTACTTGTATAAGATCGAGGCAAACGAATATTTTTCAAGAGAAATTATATGGACTGATGAGGCACATATAACAAGTGAAGGAATATTCAACCGATATAATAACCACTTTTGGGCAGATATTAATCCACACCAAAATGTTGCCAGAGTTTTTCAGGGACGGTTCGGTTTTCACGTGTGGGTGGCTCTACGTAAAAACAGAGTGTTGGCATATCGTGTTTACGAAGAAAACTTGAATGCAAATTTGTATGAGAGAATACTTTCACAAAATATATTCGAGCCATTGGATAACATGCCTTTGGTAGAAAGAAACTGTTTGTTTTTCCAACAAGATGGTGCACCGGCACACAACTCGCGCCAGATTAGAGATGTGCTAAATACAAACTTCGGTGAAAATTGGATGGGAACTGATGGACCGATTAGATGGCCTGCACGGTCACCGGATTTAACACCGTTGGATTTTTATTTTTGGGGAGATCTGAAAAATCATCTTTATAAAATTAGATCTAATAATATAAATGAACTCAGAGAAAATTTTGCAAATTCTATCCAGCAAGTTTCAAACATTGCGATTTTTAACGCAACTCAGGCTGTTGCCAAACGTTGCAGAAAGTGCCTAGAACAGAATGGAAGGCAGTTTGAACACTTGCTGTAGAGATGGAATCTTAACTATTAACTGTATTACTATATTTGATAAGTTATTTGTATTATTTTTTTAATTATGTTTTCAGTTCACGTGTTATTTGATCCATCCAGTTAGTTTTCGTTAAATATTTGTTTCCAATAAAAGTTTCGATATTGACTTGACATCCACCTCTTTTCTTACTGCACTAGTGTGATAAAAGTCCATCTAGTAAAAAAACTAAGTTCTAAGTTACAATGTAAGCATCTTATTTATGTCTAATTTTTGAAGCTTATTTTTTGTCTATATTTATAGGGGAATTTGGAAAGTGAAAAGTTTGGACTCGACTAGGATTTGACTCTAGGACCTCTAAATTCCCAGTCTATAAACTGAGCTACCAAAGCCTTCGGTTCATTTTTGCCCAATCGGTCAAGTGTTTTGTCAACTTTTAATGTGTTAGTGCTACAATCTGCAAACTTCGGCGGTTACTGAATCTAGGGGTCCTAGGTTCGAAGCCTAATTGGCTATTATGTCTGCTAGTTCACGTAAAAATGTTCATTAAAGGATTAAAAACATGTGGTAGGACATTTAAGCGAAATAACGCTTTAGGATGAAATGTATTAAATCCCACCACATTTTTTAATAATTCTAATCCCGTG